AAAATTCGGAAAAATGCACAATACCATACACTACGCGTTTTTCAAAATAACACATACACTAAAACCATGTACACGTCGACTTATTTTTACTTAAAAAAACATCCCAGAATTGCACAAAAATGGCATTGCGCACACTCTTCACTATATCCATGTACACTGCTTTTTTCTCATAAATTAAAAAATTTCACGAAAATACATGACAATTTTCTCAATCTTTAAACCCGGTAAAAAGAACATATATGAAATTACATGATCGCGAAAAAGTATTTACCCTTTACAAATATGAACATTTCCACATATAAAATATCCAAAAACTTTTACCTCTAAATCATCTATTACATTATACACGTCACCAACGAATTCATACATGAAGCATTACAAATATTTAGTATCAAATATTTAAATTATTTCCATGCACGTTTATTTCAACTTAAACGTAAACCAAATTCCTACAAGCATAAAATTCACAAAATAACTATCATTTCATTAAAATATCACTGAACCATGTACACGTCGACTTATTTTTACTTAAAAAAACATCCCAGAATTGCACAAAAATGGCATTCGCACACTCTTCACTATATCCATGTACACTGCTTTTATCTCATAAAATTAAAAAAATTTCACGAAAATACATGACAATTTTCTCAATCTTTAAACCCGGTAAAAAGAATATATGAAATTACATGATCGCGAAAAATATTTACCCTTTACAAATATGACATTTCCACATATAAAAAAATAAAATATCCAAAAACTTTTACCTCTAAATCATATATACATTATACACGTCACCAACGAATTCATACATGAAGCATTACAAATATTTATTATCAAATATTTAAATTATTTCCATGCACATTTATTTCAATTAAACATACACCAAATTCCTACAAGTATAAAATTCACAAAATAAACTATCATTCATTAAAATATAATTAAATTCAAAAAACACCACTTAAAATATACATGAGCACATACATTCAATTAATAAAAATTACCTTACAATCCTAATTACTTTAAACTAAATCATTGCTAATAACAATTTTCCCAATAATACCAAATTCCTTTCCACCTTACATTTCCAACAATGCATAAAAATAATTAAAAATACTAACTTACCTAATCTCCTTCAGAATCTTCATTACGTGGCGGATACACTTTTCTTCATTCTCTTTCAGAATCTTTAAAATCATACTTATCTTTCAAAGCAAGATACCAGGTAAAATGAATAACATAATAAAACATGTTTATTTCTCTCTCACACAACCTTAAAATACATTTCTTACTATCCTTTTCAATACCACTAAATACCCATTTCGAATTCAATTTACTTACGGCCATGGGATCCAAAAATTCACAAACACTATTTCACACAACACAGAATAAAGCCAAATACAAAATTTCCAGATTGTTTCCCGATTTCCCCCCTTTTCCGATTAAAGAACCGTAATTCGTCCATTAATATCACATGACATATCCCATGATCTCTCATTTCCCCCACACAAAATAATGCGTAATCGGAACTCAGTACTGCTCACATTATAGCAAATTAACCGTCATAGCAAATTTCATAAATAAGTCATCTCAGTTTTATTTGTAAGATATTTCAGTAGTCAATTTGTAGTAACTGAGGTATTGTGAGCTTCTACATACTTAATACATTTCAGCTATAGTTCATATGTTTCAAAGGAATGGTGGAAGTGGTTGTACTGAGCCACATTATTTCTTTTATGTATCTTTACCTTGGGGCCTCATTTCTTTTTCTAAGTAATTTAAACAATAGTAACTTAATACTGAGAGAGCTATCGTTGACTGATATCTATGAAGCAATGCAACACTATACATTTGGTGTCTGTGGTTGGGTATATGTCAATTTCTTGATTATTATTTTATATTGGAAACAGCATTATCTAATAATCAATACTCTTAGCAGGCAGATCTTAAGAGATCTCTTTTTGCAGAAACATGCGATTGTAATATTTTTGTTAATGATACCCACACCCACAAAAAAAATTCTTCAGCATATTACGGAATTGGAAAAAAAAAAAAAAAAAAAAAAAAAAAAAAAAAAAATTGATTTTATAGCTTAGTCTGTTCATATATAGCAATTAAAAAATTATTTTAAGAATAATAGTAATAAAGAAATTTTATTTGGGGGTGGGGACAAAAATCTTTAGAAACATTATTTGCATTTTCACAGTTTTTATTTAAGAAGTAAATCAGATAAGTAAGTGTTCTTGGTTTTATGTATTAAGTCTCGAGAGCTATATGCCTAAGAGGAGGGGTGCCTTCGTGGAGGACTTTCTAATGGAAACTGGCTAGTATACACATGCTAAAAATCACGAAAACACCCATGCAGCCAGCCCATTTGTAGGATTCGAACCTCGGGCCGAACTACCACTGTTCAGCGACTTGACTGCTCAGCCACTGGTGAACAGGAAATGCTCTTGACTGTGATAATTTTGGTCATGAGACACTCTTTAGTAAAAATGTATAACATTTTTAATTTTACATATACTATTTTGATTTCAACTTTTGTATAATGTTCTGTATATTAAAATTTGTAAGGCATTTTTAAATATGTGAAATTTTCCTAGTACTTTTCTTATACTAAAAATTTGCATTTAAAAAATCAACATATCTCCCTTGGTTATAGAAAACATTTTCATTACTTCCTTCGCCTCTTCCCTTAAGGCTAATGCAAAAAATTAAATTATGTTATTTTTATTAAAAGATCTGAAGTGACCAAAAAACTGTTATATTACATGAATGTTTACCTTAATTGATTTATTTCTTTAATGAGAACTATGCTATCGACCATTTAAAAGACATTTAATCATGCAGTCTTAAGAAAACATCCAATATATTTTAATTCCATACTTTTTTTTTTATTTCAAACCTTTTTGCTTTTTAAAAAATAAAAATTTTAAACATTTTTCCAAGAAAACATGATGTACGAGGGCTACTTTTTTTTCAACCTCCGATGGGCTATAAAGAGAAGACGGGTGAATATACAAAAAGATTTTATTACCAAAAGTAATGTACAATACAGGTTATTTCTCTACATAATCATCTTGACGATTGAGGTATTTTGTCATATCTGTGAACAACCTTTGCAATACCCTCTTCATAAATGTCCCTGCCAATGATGTCGAAGTGGTTGTGATGATGTTTCTTTCAGGTCCACATCATTTTGGAAGTGCTTTCCCTGCCAAGCCACTGCTTCAGTTCAGGTAACAGATGAAAGTCACTAGGTGCTAGGTCGGGACTATATGGTGTGTGTTCGAAAATGTACCATTGAAACTGCCGAAGGAGCCGTTGGGTTACATGAGCGCTGTGAAGACGGGCATTGTCGCGGATCAGAACAATTCCAGAAGTCAGCATGCCTTTTCGTTTGTTTTGAATAGCTCTCCATAAGCGTTGCAAAGTTTCACAATATGAATCTGCATTAATTGTTGTTCCAAGCTGCATAAACTCCACAAGCAACACACCTTTTTGGTCCCCAAAAACAGTTGCCATAACCTTACGGTTGTTAAAGGTTCGTTTGAATTTTGTGGGTCTCTTTGGAGAATTTGTGTGCATCCATAGTTGTGATTGTCGTTTCGTTTCGGGCGTGTCATATTGAACCCATGTCATCACCTGTCACAATGGATTTCAAAAACTCTTCTCCGTCAGTATTGTAACGGTCAAGAAACTCAAACGCTGCAACCATTCGGCGAGTTTTGTGATTGTCAGTCAACATCTGTGGGACCCAGGAAGCACAAACTTTTCTGTAGCGCAACTGTTCAGTAACGATAGAGTACAGGGAAGATCTTGAAACTTCCGGAAAATTCATCGATAATTCACTTATGGTGAACCTTCGATTTTGCTTAACCGCTTGGTCAACTCGTTGAACAATGTCGTCTATAGCGACAGACTTGCGTCCTTGACCCCCTTCATCATTCACATATCAGTTCGGCCATCTTTAAACTTTCAACACCATTCACGAACAGCGCCATCACTCATAAAGCTGTTTCCATACACTCGACTCTTTCTTCGATGAATTTCTGCTGCACTGTTCCCTTCTGCCAGCAAGAAACGAATAACAGCTCGCAATTCACACTTGGCAGGAGAATCAATAGCGACAGCCATGTTTACATGACTGCATCTCAACAGAAAATGGCATGTTGAATACGCCAGTGACAGAGCCTGTGGAGGGGGAGATGCGCAGTCGCCTACTACGCACACCAACCACCTGTCGCATACCTGGCCATCATACTGTGCGATCAGAGGTTGAAAAAAAAAACAACCTACATATGTATAATACACACAAATCATTTATTATATTTTCTTATGGCATGAAAAGGATAAATACTACAACAGTATCTATACCTTGAAAACAAGGCATTTAAAAACTTAGCAGTTACTTTTTTAATGATTCTGTGACTGTTTATCTAGATACATTTAAATGATTAAATCTGTGTCATTTTTAGTTTAACTAAGCTCACTTTGAAATCAGTTCAGAAGTCATAGAGAATGATAAATAATCTATCAGTTTTTCATTTTAATCATGTATTTATTTTTAGTGCATCTAGATAGAATTAAAATTATTGCGATCAGATTTAAAAATGTGTTATTTAGATTTTTTAATTCTTTTATTGGATTTACTGCATTTGGAGAAAAATTTTTAATTTTAATTGTTTTGTCTGTTTTTAACATATATTTATAGTATCAACTGCTTCACTTGCAACCTTCTGTTTAACTGTCAAGTTACTATATTAACTTAAAATTATTTGCATGTATTCTGGTGCAGGAAATAATGTGATACTTTCTTCAGAACACAAAAATAGTAGTATGTGAATGTGTATGAAATGTTTTTATGAATATGTTTTAGGGGAAAGGCTAATGTTCTTTATTGATTAGTTCCTTAAAAATTTTTCAATCTTTCCACATGAACTTAGATTTTTATGCATTTGATTTGAAGAATATTGTTTTATTATTATTATTATTTTAAACAGTGATAAAGTACCCAGTTTAGATGATGAAGAAGAAACTTCAGAATCTGAATCTGCCGATGATGAAGAAAGTAGTAAGTAAAGATACTGTTAATTCATTTGCAGGCATTTCAAAGATTTAAAAAAAAAAAAAAAAAAAAAAAAAACGTTCAATTATCTTTCAAATTTTAGTTACTTATATTTGCATAGTTGCCAACTCTCAACATTCCTGGTTTTTCATCACATCTTCGGGTCTCTCTTAGAGTACCGAATCCTTTGGTTTTTAATTTTTAGCCTTCAACGAAGAAAAACTTCTCCCAACAATAAATGACATTTATTGAATTAATTAAACTTAGCAAATTGTGTTCCACATTTAATGATTTTTGAGAATAATTTTTCTTATTAAATTCAATTATATTTTTTCCGTATTGAATGTCATTTGATATAAGCTGTCATAATCTTCTGTAGACATTTATAGATTTTTATATGAAGATTCAAGCAATGCTTAGTCAGCTAATTCAGCCAGTTGTTTCTTCTCATATTATCTCCTTCCTCTAAATTTTATTCTTCTGCAGTCCTGATATTCTCTCAACTATCCTAAATATTTGGTTCTAAATCATTTTCTGGGCTTTTCTCGAATTCTTTGCCTGTAAGGATAGCACTCATGTTAGTCTTTGTTGAATTGATTAGATCTAAATCTAGAACTTCTGCTTCTTTTATTTCTTGCAAGAACATTACAGGAGTTAAGAGTATAAGATTGTTGCTATCTTCACAAGAGTCTATCTTTCATCACATTGTCAGCATCACAGAGTACTATGTATAAGTGTTTATAATCTATATCAGTATTTACTAAAAACATGTCTAACTATTTTTTTAACTTGCTTATTAGATGCTCCTAAAAGCCACCCCACAAGGGTGCTGATAGTGAGTTGAATTTCCAGTTAATTCTTTTAAACAATGTGAATTCCTGCAAGTCAACTGATTGTAGCTCATTAGCTGTTCTCACCAAACTTGTTCCATTGTCAATATAGATAACACTTGAATGATCTGTTCTTGGAATAAATCTTCTCAGCAATAGAAAAGATAAAAATCCTGCTGAAACTTTCACAAGTTTTACATTGTATTTTTTGCAAATAGACCATGTCTTTATGATTTTCTTGAAAACAAGAAATCTGCTCTTTCAATAATCTTCATGCAATGTGGATATTAAATATTGTACACTGGCATGTTCAAAGTCTTGATTTTTCCACTTTATTAAGCTTTTAACAGTGTGGTGTTCAGAAGGTAATGCTACAGGAACTCTAAAATTTTCTTCATCTTTTTTCATAAAAGTATTTGTCTTCACTCTTAATAAGCCTTCTGAATCAATTGCTGATAAAGACCATTTGTCATTTGTCCAGTCATTTGAAATTTCCTGGACTCTCTTCAGAATAATCTTTTCTGCTTTCACAATTTCATTAAGGATGCTTGGCTTTTCTTGACACATAGTTTAGTATTTTTGTAAATCAATAAATGCATACTGCAGTTGTAATTATCATTTTCTGGACTTTTCTCTTGTATGAAGATATTCGGTAGAAGAAATTTGTTTTCTCTTTATTCACAGAGGATACTATAATCTTCTTTGTTTCTGAATTTATGGTTTCTTCCTTTGGTATCAATTTGAAATTTGGCCATCCATCTCTTCAATATTTTAGCCAGATAGGACCTTCCCATCATTTTTCTTTATTAGTTTTTTTTTTTTTTTTTTTGCTGCAGATTCTCAAAATGGAAGATCAGCCGAATTTTGTACTCCGTGTACATATTTCCATCATCAGTTGCTTTCAAACTTCTAATTTCACCCTGCTAGAAATAAATACATTGCAGTTATCCTTTTTCTTAGAGGCCACCCATTGAATCAGACCAGAAAAATGTGTTTATATTGGCTAATTTCAAATCCTTTTTAAGAGTGTTTGCTAATCTAGCTCTGATATTGCAAACAAATAATTCTAACTGGGGTATACTTGCTTTTTTTGAGAATAGCTACCTTTGATCTTATTTGCATTAGTTGACAAGTTACTGCACATTTTCCTTTCATCCTCAAGAAAATTGGCATGTGACAACTGGCATGTGTCTCAGAATACATGATAAATTTTCATGCCGAAGTTCTAAAACTGATATTCTGTGAGGAACTGAATGTCTGATATTTCCTCGTGATCTCTGAGTGAAATTTTGAGTCCTGCAAGTCTTTAATTTTCCAGCATTCTTGTAGCAATAATTTTAGCACTATTGTGAAGGGGCAGCTGAAACTGATACAGTAAAAAATTTAATGAACTAAAGAGAGGATCTTTTTTTAGTTATTAGGATCTTTTCTCCATCAGTAAATGTCTTTATGTTGTTTGGTAACATATCATTATTCAGATTCCAAGCTGGTTCGAAAACAAACTAAGGGCTGCATACTTCTGTATGCAGCTTATGGCAGTATTTTGATATGCAGGGGATACTTTCATAGTTATTTGAAATGCATTTGAAACAATTTAGTATTTTAAGAAATTGTGGTATTAACTGCAATGGCAGACACAAATAGTTTCCGTAGATTATAATTTCATCAGGTTTCTTTGCTGATTTTGCTGCAATTTTTTTTTTTTTTTCACCCCCTCACCAGCAAATTCTGCAATAGGCTGACATTGCAATTTCACCCCCCCCGTGGGATCTTGTACTTTTTCTATGGTTTTGTTTTACTACTAAATTTTTAAAATGCTAATACTACATTTCTTTGCACCTTTTTTGACACAACTGGCATTTCTAATATCAGAAGACATATTCTTGATCTCTTTGATAGCAATATCATTAAATAAATGTTATAAATAGAGATTTCTTGCACCTTTTCCTCTTTTTCTTACTTCAACACTTAAGCATCATTGTGAAAAACTCTCTTTTTTAGATTTTTAGCCTTCTCTGACTTCAGAGTTTTCTTTAGTTTCTGTTCTGTAGGTGTATCTGTACATTTAGCAGTTGTTTTCTTTTCTGTTTGTTCAGCACACTTTTTTAAACTTTGTTTTAACTCATTCACTTAGTTTTTCACAAGTAAGGAATAAATATTCTCTTTGAAACCCAGAACTCAATGTAGGTTTATATTTTTTATCATCTTGTAATTCAAGGCATCAACAGCTGGTCCATTAACTTGGGTTGTTGATCCAAGAAAAAAGTTTTAGGTTGCTATTAACGATGTAAGCATAATTACTATGAATATTATTATGCTTTCCCAACATATGTATTTATATCTTCCATTAAAAAAATAGTGAGCATATTAATCGCAACAGTGCTGATAACTGCATTACTACATAAATTGCTCTAAATAGCAATAGAAAAAGTACGTTCATCAATCAGTATTTCACAAGGAACTAGAGGAGCAACTTCATTTCATCAATACTCACTGAGATTACATTATTAGAATTTAGTGAGAGAGATCTAATTTCAATATAAAACTTACTGCTTTTCATAGTCACATCACTTTCTATGTCTAGTAATTGTGTTTTCCAAATCTACTTGTAATGCTTGTTTTCCAAATACTCAATACTTATACCACCAATTATACATATATAAAACTTTTTGTGAGCATGTTAGAAATCCGTTAATAAAAATTCTATTTATTTCTTTTATTATCTTATTATTCTATCTGTTATTCTATTATCTTATTATTTTATTATCTTATTATCTATTATTTTATATCTTATTATTATTTATCTTATTATTCTGAGACTTTTGCTTTGTGTTACTGTCATAAAATGTGCATTTATAATGACTTATTCTGTCTATTTTATTTTTTAAATTAGTGATGATTTGTGATCAGTTTTATTATTGTTAAAACACTTGAAATTTTCAAGTGTTTCTCAAATTTTGATTCTTTGGTACTTTCTGACTATCTGCAAACCTTAGCAACATGCTGTGTCAGCACAATGTATTTATATGGCAACCCAAGTATGCACGTGCAACCAGGAGACAAATGTTGGCCATTAATGATTGCTTTTATGTTTGCTGAGAGAATCTTTTTTTTTTCTTGTAAGTAATCATAAGGGATTTTGAAGTTTGTCATGTGATAGAAAATGAAGCATTACATTATAGAGTCATTAGGTTATCTTAAAGCAGGAGATGTGAAAAATGTGCAGTGGTCTCACCTTGACTTGAACCCTGGATCTCTCAAATATGTGTCAAGTATGCTTCCAGTTACACCAGGAAGGCATGCGGAAAGTAGGGAGAAAATACCTTATATACTCCCCCTTCAAAGGGGCAACTGGGGTTGAGAGGACCCTGTTGTCGAATTCTGGTGTTGATAAATTATCGTCACCTTTTAGTTCAGGTGCCATTTGTAGAGTCATTAGGTTATTTTGAAGCAGATGATGTGAAAAATGCTTTTCACAAAAATGCAATGCTTTTGCCGCGACTTGAAACCTAGACCTCTCGAATATGTGCCTAGTGTGCTATTGTTACACCATGAAGCATGCTGGAAGGAGAGAAAAAATATCTTATAAAATTTCTTCAGAAATATGCTGTTTTGCCAGATAGTAAAGAATGCTAATGGAATTCACATTCCAGTTGTACTTCATTAACAATTATATTTTATAAATCAAAAATTATGCACTGATGCTCAATTCATACAGTTCTCCCCCCCCTTTTTTTTTTTTTTTTAATAAACAAAAACAGGTTGCTTTGTACACAGCAAAACAGCTTGTATGCAATGTCTAATTTGTGCAATTATTTTATGATTCTTTAAGCGAAAACAGATTGCTGTGTATACAGGGAGAACAATTATGTGTGCGGTATCATGTTATGCACAATGCAGAGTTTTGCTGTGTACATGATGAGAACAGTCTAAAAAATTGTCTTATTATAGATGGTTTCTTGCATTTTTGCTTTTGTTAATTTGGTAGTGTATTATGTAATTTTTAGGTATCTTTTTGTAATTCTTATTTAATGTTTTGTGCTTGGCAAAAGAATTAATTTCTAACAGTTTCCAACTTTTCATTGGGAGGGGGGGGGGGAATCTTAAAGTACTGTTTTTTTTTTTTTTTTATTAATTAAGTAGAACAACTTGATTTAAACAAGTGGTTAATTCTATCACCTAAAATTGTTGTACTTATATTTGCTTTTTTTTCTCAAATTTTAATGTGTTGCATCATATTCATCTAGTATGTTTACAAGTTGGTCTGTCTTTTTAATTTTGGATAGACTATTTACAAAATGTTGACACATCTCATTCAGAAATTTTCATTTTATTTGATTGGTATTTAAGCTGTTTTAAATCATCATAGGTTTTTCTAAACCTTGTAACCATTCCAATTATTTGTAGAAGTTGTTCAATTCAAAAGTGAAATTGTAGAAGTTGTTCAATTTAAAAGTGAAATTGCATCAAGAAGCAGAAATTTCTTTCTTATGCAAAATAAAATGTCTAAACTGCTCTGGACTCAGCTATAAGTGCTTAAAAATCTTTTTTCCCCCCTTAATTTTGTCGTAAATATTTTCCAGTTGATCAGGCTTACATAGCAATACATTCACAATATCTAGTCCTTATAGAAATATAACTCAGTCTTCTTCATCTCATAACTAATATCATTTTATGGGATTTTGACATCTGCTTAAAACAATATAATTAATAAACACTTTTATACAAAAAATATAAGCTTAAATTAGAACAAAAACTTTGCACGAACACATAAAAATTTCATTACCAGAGATCGTTACATTTTTAGAATTCTGAGCTCTCATCATTGTGAATTTCAAAAAGACATTCTTTAAAAAATATGCACTACTTCCATTTATCAGCAAACAACTAGTTAAATGTTTTATTATTTTCACATACTTGGCTGATGTATATAGATAGACTGATAGATATAAACCACCAATTATACATATATAGGGTGTCTCAGTACCAGAGGGTCACAAACTTGTAAGAGGGGTAGGAATGACTTGAAATCACATTGCAGCATAGGGTTGGACCCAGATGACTGGGAATCACATAACAGTGTATGGTTGAAAATGACATACACAAAGTAGTGTACACAGTAAACACTAGAAAGAAAAGACACTGTGTAAGTGAATATGTATTTTAATAATAAATAAACATACATAAAACTGACCATACTTGCTATATATATATACTTATAATGCTTTCTTCAAGAATAATTAATAGCCACTAGTCGTTTAGCCATCTTTTCACTGAGAACACTGTCCAAGTTGCACAACAGGGGTTGACCAATTATACATGTGTGGAAACCGATAAGTTCAATCCAAATTTTGATGATAAACACTATGGGTGGCAAATTTGAGGGTCTCACTCTTTCCCTACTCCCAAACATCTCAAGAGGACTTTCAGCTAACCACTATTAACTGCCATCATGCTGTGTAGACATTATACACTTTTAATCATTCAATCTTTCTCTAGTATTTAAAACCCAAATCTCAGGATATGGCAGCCTGCAGAACTAACCACTGTTACTGATCAGGGTGGCTAAAGATATATTTTTCACTCACAAAAAAGTAACAGAGGCCAATAAATGCTGTCAAAGTGCCTGGATGGTATAGTGGTAAGTGATGCTTACTACCATACCAATAGACTCACGTTCAAATTCCAGAGAAGGCATAGATGTTTGTAAGTGTATGGTGTCTGTGTGGCAAGGGGGCATTCAAAATACATGGTGAACCTAAAGTCCTCTCGAGTGGCTGGTGGTAGGGAGAAAGGGATGAGAGACCCTTGGACTGCTCCTCGAGGTGTTCATCCTCTTAATTTGGGATGAGTATACAGTTAGTGCAGTGGGTCTATACCTCTGCAACCAATTGTGAAATTCTGGTGTCTCACCCACTTCTAGCTGAACCTGCCAAAGTGCCCTCCACAAGCTGTCATGTAAATTTTACATTTCCAGCATATAAAATTCTGAATATCTTAGAAGATTCTGAGTTCTGGCAGATACTGTGATGCATGCAACCTGTTCCTCAGTGCTATCAACAGGAGTACCAGATAGTGGTGCTTTCATATGTCCTCAAAAGAAATACTTAAGGGTGTGGTAAGCCAGGCAATCAAACAGGCCAGTGTTGGATCATTACATCCATGGCAAAATGTAATCATTACATCCATGGCTTAAGTACCACATCTAACTGAGCATTGTCAATTTAAGCATGTATCTACTATACAGTTCATGATATGCTTGAAAACAAATAGCTAATAATGTTCTGGCACCACAGTTAACATTGATGTTATTTCAAGGAAATTTGTAAGGAAGGGAAAAAGCTAAGATTCTCTATCTTAGAATTAAAGCAAGACAGAATGAATATTCACTTATATTTTTATTTCTTAATCTTAAAATATAAGGAGGGTCTTACTTTCTAGTAAGTATGTTATTTGTTTTTGAAGATTTGTATTTTTGTTGGCTTGGACAACTACCACTTAATTTTAGTTCTAGCCTTGTGCAGTTATATTGTATGTCTTGTGTAGGTGTTATGGATCATGAAGTTTGAAATTTTGTATAAAAAATAATAGACATGAAAAGTATCTAAGCTTAAGTACACTACACTTTTTCTTTTGTTTTGATTATACATATATAAATGTAATAATGTAGAAAATGTTGATAGCATAGATGTTGTTGTAGACTTAGATCCAGAAAAGAAAAGTTGATTGCAGAGATGTTGAAGATGTTGGTCCATAATTAACAGGAAACATGGCAGCCAAGGCAGATTGAATATACATAAATATACATTTTTATTTCAGTTGACACTTGTGGACACAATTCACGATACTCTGATTGTGCCTATTCCAAACATTTTACAATTTTGATAGCCTTGCAGTAAGAAGAGAAGCAGCAAACAGTCTACCTTCATATAGGAGCAGAAGCAAAGTGTGTAGTTATTTCAATATGGAAGCATATTGAGAGAAAGGCTTTGATTCATATTAGCTGCATCATCATTATTATGTAAAAGTCATATGGTGGATTAATCTAGAAATGACATGGTCTAGAAAAGTTATTACTATTTCTAGAATAGAGAAGAGAAATACGCAAATAAAATGAGGAATTAAGGGGCTATTGTTAATTTAAGTTATAATTTTGATTTACATATTTTTTATCTTATCTACATATACTGGAAGTACAAAATGCCTAACATTTTTATTTCAAGTACCATATGCAAAATCATTCTGTAAAATATATTTTCAATGCAAGATGAAAAATATAAGTGTTTTGGAAATTTACTTTGGATTATGTATTTCTGGGAATTACTGAATATCTTGTACCGTTACGTAATACATGCATTTAAATTTTTTTTAAATATTTCCTTTAAAAAAACTTATAGGTAGTAGAACTGTTTTCTTAATTTTGAGAATATTTTTCATGAACTATTGTTGCTGTATTTGCATTAAATGACATTCAGAATCATTTTTAATATTCCTTGGAGCTAAATTGTTGAGTGTTAAATTTAAATTTTACATATTTTTCAATAATGTCCTTTTTTATTTAAGAGACTGAAATTATTTTAATATTCTTTTAGATCAAGATGTGGTGCAACAGTTTTCAAATATTGATGTAACCAGTGATATTGAAAAAGGGAAAGCTGTTAAAGCTCAGCAAGGTTTGTAACCATTGTAAAACTGTTTCAATTTATGTGTTAATTTCATAGGCTATCTTTTAAATGTACTTAAATATAACAAAGAAGTACTTCTTAAATTTTGTGTAAATAAAGAATTTCATCTCCTATTTTTTTGTAATTTTAATTTGTAATTTTTTTCATAATTTACTGCTTCAGAAATATGGAATAGGCTCTGTGAATGTCGTATAAAGCTTCAGAAGCTATTAATTCTTGCTAACAAATTGCCACAGTCTGACAGATGGCAGTCTTTAACAGATAAAGGTGGCAAGCCATTAGCTGAAAATTTAAATAAAGGTATTTAGTTAATTTTTTGCTTTCATTTTCATTAATGTATTTTGCATATAATATAAAAAAGCATTCTTGCTGAATTTTAATATGTTTTAATACATTTCTGTTTAATAATATAATTTTGTAATGTGAACAAGAAACTAATTTTATTTGATCAAATAATATCTCTGTTATTTTATAGCAGTACTTGTGTATTGTTATTTGTGAATTTATAAACTTTTGTATTTTCAGGTTGTAGCAGTATCAAAATGCTATTAAATAATTGGTTGGATTTGCAATCAGTGCTTTTAGCTAAAAATCCAGAAAATAGCAACTTAGAAAATACTGCAGTTAATGTTGAATCAGAAAGGTATGCATTTATTAGCTATCAAAATTTGTATTTTGTGGAAAGCAATTGTTATGTCGTGGAGCAAAAACAAATTTTACTTTACACCTGACTACCACTGGCTGCGACATAGCAATGTGAATACTCTACATCTAAAATTTTAAACACCATTCCAGAATTTTAAATGTTTATTTAATAGAATTCTATTCATATGTTTGCAAGTTATACACTATAAACACAATAACAAAAATTTAAACTTATCTGCACCAGCGTGAATAAGCCTTGCATAATATTCTGAACTCGACGCAGCTTTAGGAAGTAAAATACTGCAAATTCAAACACAAGGGTTTCATCCTTTTCAACGCAGCTAATTTTCTAAATATACTTTACTAATATTTGCAGCGGGGCAGCGGATTCCATTTCATTCACCCAAAACTCAAATTTTGTAAAGCAATAGTATCACAAAAGATGCAAAAAACATCGACTCAAAATTAAAATTAAATCTATAGAATATCATCCGCTGTTGCCATTCCAGCACTGCCAAGTTTTTCTTCCTGCAGCTGTTGCCAGACTTATCCTCGCTATATGGGAGAGGTACAACAGCAATAAATTACACATTTTAAGATTTATGATGTATATAAGCGTATGTGTTTTACTCTTAAGCTTCTAAAATTTTGTGTCTGCAACCCAGTATAGAAGTAGGATTCTTCTGTTATTTTGCCATGTATTACTTACACTGGCTAGTATGTTTGTGTTGCATCACAAAATCAATGGTGTAGCCAGTTTTTTGTCGTCATTCTGAATACACATTAAAAAACAAAACTTTAAATTATGTTATAATAAATGTTATGTAATAATATGTAAAAACCTTTAAATTATGTAATGTATTAGTTAATGTTATTATATAAAATGAAATATAGGAAAACATTTAGAACGCTGCTTGTTTTTTAAGTCGGACTTTAATTTTAAAATGATATTTTGCATGTTTTCTATTGCCAAAACCATTGATGACATTGTTAAACTCTTTATTTCACTATTTACATCTTTCTCTGTATTGTCATCAGAGGGTTCATGCAATGAAAGAAGTAAATAAATCAGCCTGTTTCTGAATTAAGACACAAAGTTTAACACTCAGAATAATCTTTTAAACAATCAAAGTAATCTGTGTCTTTATCAGTCCAACATCTACAGGTTGTTATCAGTCAGTAAAAAATGTAAAAGTATAGCATCAGAAACATAAACAAATTTTAAAAAGCTTAAAAATGTTATTTTGAGTAGACCAAGTCAAAATATATATATATAAACACAAGAATCCAATACATGAAAAATTTTTAAAAACATATGAAAATTTTGAAACCATAAAGACCAGCTTAAAAATCTAGTAATAATTATCTTCAATTTAAGTGGAACAAGTCCAAAAACATAAATATGTAAAATGGAAGTAATTCAGCATATAAAAAATAATAAATGAAAATTTAATATAAAATAAAAATAAAAGAAGAAAAAAAGATCTGTAACATAAGAGCAAACACATTTTTGAAATGAAAAGTATGTTCAACATGTTCTTGAGCAAAGTACTGCTGCTAAACCTAAAATGTACTAAATACTAATTTCATAGCTCTTCTTAAGTCCCAAATATTACTGAGTCTGGGTGAAGACTTTTGACTATTATTATTATTATTATTTTCTGTTTCCTTGACTTTTATGCAAAGAATAAATTTTTAATTTTGATTTACATGTTTGAATTAAAGCCGTTTATCTGCATAATAGCTGAAAGGAGATAAAACACCCTCACACTTACTATTTGGATTTTCTTAGTCTACAACCGATCAGTGGGTTCCTTCCATTTAATTTATCATCATTCTTATATACATATACAGTTTTAACACTCTCTTCCAGTTCTTTTCTGGTAAACTTAAGTGTCATTCAAGCATCGGTTCCAGTGAATATCCTTTTCGATCAAAAGATTTACAACTGCAAACATGGTATTTAAACTGTAAGGTAGGATTAAAATTATATTTTTGGCCTTTACATTTTTGTGTATGCATATAATTACAACATTATAATTATATAATAGTCTTAATTCTATCATAGTCTTACACTTACTTTACATGCATTGCCAGTTTTTAATTGCTATTTCTAAATTCCCCATCAGTTTTTATAACAAACTTTTTAACCGTTTATGAATATATGTTCTTTTTTTATGGCTGGGGACGAGGTGGTGACCTTCATGTTTGAGTAATATTAATTTATTAAAAAACTTTATATATAATTTTTTCACAATTAAAAGATTTCATTTAAACATGCAAAAGAGATGAAACATGGTCATGCCTAAATTATTACAAATTTTGGGGGGAAGTACTAATAATAATTGATTTGATAAGTCAGTTATCTTCTGAGAAATAGACAGTAGTTTACTTTTTTTTATATGTACATTTATTTTTCTACCTTATTTTATATGTATGTACTATTATTTTTCTTTTATATTAAAAATGTACATTTATGCATACCAATACAAATATTAAACTTCTTTTAAATTTATTACAATTTTTAATAGTGTAAATAAATCTCTTAAATTGTAACATTTCCTAATTTTAATTAGCAGCACTTCCTTTCGTAGGAGATAATCAGAAATACAAGGGCAATTCGGAAACTAACCTCCTTTTTACTATAAATAAAAAACCACATAGATTCAAAAAATTTTTTATTTACATCTAAAAGGTACAGCTGTCCTCTGTTTTTCAACATATCTGCCATGTTTATTCAAGCATTTGTCATAGTATTTTATCTACTTGCCAATCCCTTCTGCTTAAAACACAGCCGCCTGTGACTTCAACAAACTTGTCACAGCAGTTTGAAATTTCTCATCATCAGTGAAGTGCTGTGTCTCAAGCCATTTCTACATTGCAGGAGGAGGGTGTTAAAAACATTTTCCATTAGAATTGGTGCAAAAGATATTGTGTTTGCTGAGCACTGTGTGGGCAAGTATTATTGTGCAGGAACAGGACCTAGATGTCAGCAAGCAGTGACATTTATTCTGGATGGCTGTTTTCAGTTTTCTCAAAAAGTCTTACAGTACATTTCAGAATTATGTGCTGTATCACATACCATGAATTTGAAAAGCAAGATTCCATTAGCATCCCAAAACATGGTGACCATAACCTTCCTTGCTGACAAAGTTTGATGGGCTTTCCTCAGCCAGGTCAGAGAACAGGTATGACCTATGCCATTGATTGTTTTTTTGTCTCACCATTCATGTGTGCTACCTAAGTCTTATCAACAGTCACTATTTTGTTCAAAAATTCCTTCCTTTTCATTTGGTACTGGAAAAGAAAGTATAAGGCAGGGCCCATTTGATTGATTTTGTGGATCTCCATGAAAATTTTGGATACCCCTTGAGCCTAGAACTTCCTATAGTCTAATTTTCTGGTGACTATCTCGTACAAAATAATCTGAGAAATATTTGGAAATTGTTGTGAAAGTTCCAAGATTGTGAATCGACTGATCTGTTGGATTTTGTCATCAATTTGTTTGGCGAGATCATCACTCACTACAGACGCCCTCCCACTTCGTGATTCATCATGAATGTTTGTTCTTCCTGCATTGAAAAATGTCACCCACTGATGCACTACACCTTCACTCATAATGTTTGAGTTGTATATGACACACAATTCATGATGTATGTCTACTACTGACAGTTTTTTCACCCAAAGAAATCGTATTACTCCTCTTACCTCATATTTTGTGGGATTTTCAATAGCAGTGCACATTTTGTGACGTTATAGCCAACACACATGCGGCAGTATGATACTCTCTTTAGGATAGCTGGAAATTTACTGAATCACAGATTGCTTGATATAACAGTGTTTGTGCTGCGCCCACTACTACTAGTGCCACATCGCAGCAGAGGTTATTTTCCAAATAGCCCTTGTAGATATGTGTATCTTATGTCAACATGACAGTATTAACATATTGCGCAGTGCTAAAGTTTGTATGATTTTATTTGAGATATTGAATGCGATCTATAATGCAAAAGAGCTTTTTCAAAATTAAAAATTGTAAAAAGTAGATTAAGGAGTTCTATGAAGTAAGCTTAATTTGAAGTCATTGCTGTTGATGAAAACAGAGAAAGATATTTTGGATAAAGCAAAAATTAAAAATAATAATAGATGAAATATTTGCCCAGGCGCCTGGAATTAAAAAAAAGTATTTAAATGGCTAGTTAGGAATCAACCACTGTTTTGTTTATATAATTATTTAGTCACTGTTATTTATTGTTTGTAGTTTATTCCTCCCCTCCATATATATATATATATATATTTGAATTATGTTCAGAGTGATCTTTCCAATAAAGCCATATGTAACAACAACATATATATATATATATATATATATATATATGAGTGAAGTATTACATTTCTGCAATTAATTTTCATAATGATGAGATGATAATTATAACTTATATGTATAATAACATTTCACATGGGGCGGCATATGTTTTTTCTGCCAGGGCTGATTTTTTTTATCAATCTGCCACTGATGATTACGTAGTTGGATCATAATTGTTATAACAAATATCATGCTTAGCTACTGAAATCATTCTTTGCATACTGTGAGATGGATTTTAATCTGTGATTCTATTAACATTAATATGAATACATAAATTTTATAAGAATATTTGCGAAGAATTAAATGTCTTATAATTATAAATTTTCCTTCATTTTCTTATTTTGTCATATTTTGTTGCTAAATTGCATTGCATTTGTAGGTGCTGTTTTTGAAGTTCTGTTTAATCTTTATTTTAGTGATGAAGAAATTCATAGTGATGAAGCAGTTGAGGAAATGGAAGAAAAAAGCAAAACAGATGACATCAAAATTGACGACTGGAAGCCTCGCAAACGTAAAGCAGAAAATCAGGATTACTGTGAAATTCTTGCCAAAAGACATAAAAGTCTAATACCGTACAGGTAATCTGAGAGTATGCACTCATATATTACAATCTCGGTGTTTTTTTTTTTTTATTTCAATTCCTTAAAATAAAATCTAATTTTGTGCACTGGGCTGAAACAATGAATTCAGTGTGCAAATGTAGTGAAAATAGGCTTAGTAATCGTCAATATTTACTAAATATCAATTAATATGTCTGTTATAAATATAATCTATTTATTTGAAAGAATGGCTTCAAATGGCACTTATGAAATTCGATGATACATGTTTCCTTTGAGTTGACACAAGATTAGAAGTATAAACTTCAGAAGCAAAGACTACAGGTCTAATAACTGGTATTGAATGCATCTGAACCAAGTAAATCATAAAACTAAATTATATATTATTGTTATTCACATTTTAAGTATCAAATAATTTATCAATTACATGAAATTTGAAAATTTTTACTTGAAGAATAAAGTGCCCCAAAATAATCCAGACTAAGACCCAATGTCAAGGAAAATTGTTAGTATTATTTAATTAACTATTACTGTACAAACATTCTTAGCTTTTTTATTAGTTATTTATAATTTTATTTCATGCATGTTCAAATATATCAATATAATTGGTGCTTTAGTAGTAAAAAAAAATTTCTTCTTTGTAATCATTGCTTTTAAAATTTAAAAAGCGTATAAATCAATAATGTAAATTTTGTTTTGAAAGTCTTTGTCCCCCTTTTTTAATGCAAAAAGGAAGTCAGCTTTATGTGTTACCTTTCATAGATCCATCTTTATTAAAACGATAAATATTACTTGTCTCTTAATTTTAGTAAACAAAAATTTTGCGTCACTTCCTTTTGAAATTACAAATAGATGTTGGATATGGAATTATTGAATTTACTTATAAATATCAGGTATTTTTCTACAATTTTAAAATTTTATTTATATTATTCTAATTTCAGTATGACTGAATAAAATTTCTTGACTTTTTCATCTGTAGCATTTATTCATCATGCTCATATCATTCGCCAATATGGAAATTTTATACATAACTTGCCCAGTGTGAATTTCCTGTTATAATATTCATAATAGGAGATAAAATTTGTAACAGCATATTTATGAGTTCAAGTTTCTTCAAGTTAGTATAAAATTTCTGTATTTTAAATTATATGAATCATATGAGGCATAAAAATTCTTGTTGAAAGCATATTTTTCTGTTGATTTAATTTTTTAATTCTACTTCACTTTGTGCTCTTGAAAATAAATTATCTGTCTTGTAGAAATTCAGTTATACAAAAATGGGATGAAAAAACACGTTTGTCAACTGGAAGAATTACCCAGAAATCTTTCACAGCATTTGAGAACTCAGCATTGAAGCAAATAGAAAAGGTACATATTATTATTTTGTAGCCTTAAAAGTTAACCTTAATTTCTTAAATCTTCATTTAAAGTAATGAATGTTAAATATTGTGCACTTTTTAGTAAAATTCTTATTGCGCTAATGACAGGTAATTTTTTGAAGCAAAATATTTATGTTCTTGCAAAATATATAAAAGATGAACATTGTTTTCTTATTTTATATTGAAAACTAAATATCTTAAACAACAATGTGCTTTTTATTTATACTGCTATTATCGTAATACTAGCTCAAATTTGTTGCATTGAAAAACCGAACTGTTAGATAGTTATATATAGAAGGCTGAGAGTCTGATAAGTTTCAGTATGAATATGTACGTAATAACTGATATTCTGAGTTCTAACTAGCAGTGTAATATTCCAGGTAGTTCTTTGTATTCCAAGTATTAGTTTCTGATGAGATAAGTAAGACTGTTTGTTAAATATGTAGTATTAACAAATTTGTTACTTTGTTTAAATATGTAGTATTATGAAAAACTTGTTGCATCCCATGCATGGGAATATTACCTTTTCTGGCAAATGTTTACTTCATAAGTAAACAGTTTTATTCCAGCTTATTAACTATTTTTTTTTTATTATTCTTTTGTAATCTAACATCTTTTGCTGTTACATCAGACAATAAAACTTTTTTCCTTTTTTTCAAATTCTGACGAAATTGACTAAAATCTCTATGTAAATTTCATTTTTTCAGATTCTTCAAGACAAAAATCGTCTAATCAAAAGAACTCAGCTTAAAAGATCACTCTATCGAGTTCTCGGTAAACCAGAATTTTCACAGATGAAAAATGATGAAAATGCTGATGTTAATGTATGTAGTTTTAAAAAATTTATATTTAAAACTATAAAAGATATGTATTTATAGTACATATGTGTATGTATGCATATAATTTTTTAAATCAGAATAATCTTCAAGTTTTTTTTATTACTATAAAATACATGTTTTTTAAAGTATTGATTTTTCAGTTCTAAATAATAATCACCTGTAAGCAAGTGTAAAACAAAAATATATAAATTTGACAGCTCAATATTAAGTATTTAAGTATAGTTATAGTAATTTTAAGTTAGTTAATTACATTTGAATTATAATTTTAAATTAGTTAATTACATTTGAATTTTCATCAGCTGTTAAAAGCAGGTATCTTAAGTGGCAAAGTGTGAAATGATTTAATATATTTCAGATTATTTATTTGGTTTCATATTCTTTGTATGTATGATTATTTTTATCTACATCAGGTATGTGCAACACACAATCCTGATTTTATATGACAACTTTTCCAACTATTCTTGAATCTATCCCATTAGCAGTTTCAATTCAACAAACACTCATAGTTGTGATGAGTAATTTTGTACAAATTCTAATTCTCATGGTTTTCACCAATTTAAAAAAAAATTTTATCTGTATTTTTACTTTTTTCTTATGCAAATTGCTGTAATTTCCAGTTTCCGCATTATATCAGCGTATGTTTCACTTTCATGTATTTATAAATTTGCAATCAAAGACTAATTACGTTGGCTTCATCAAAGAAAAAAGTAGATACTGCGAATCATAATGCAAAAGGAAAAGCCTCTTTCTTTTGTATGTTTTGAAACTATTTCAGTTTTGAAGGAATACAACTTAAAAAAACATTATAACATGAAACATGCTAATTACAACACTTATAAAAATCATTTGAGAATAGATAAGATATAAAATGTGAAAAAAGAGTGTATCTGTACAACAGGTGCTATTCCACCAATATAATGATGTTTCTGATAACACTGTTCATAAAAGCTTTATTATTAGCAAAAAAAATTGTGGACTACTCATAAACCATATTCTGAAGGCGAGTTTGTCAATGAATGCCATACTTCTGTCATGAAAGTACTGTATCTTGAGGAAAGCAGTGAAACTGAACAGATAAGTCTTTCACTTTGGATAGTAACCCAACGAATTGATGAAATGGCTAGTCACATAAAATTAAACATATTGCATCAAAGTTTGAAGACACAAAACCACTGATACCATTCAGTTTGCTATATTTTTCTGCAGAGTTAATGTGAACTTTTACTGTATGAAAGAACTGCTTGCTCTTTAATCAGGGAGAGATGCAACAAAGTGTAATGATGTTTCCCAGGACATAAACAAGGCTTTTACTAAATTTGACGTAAAGTGGGAAGAGCTAAGTGGAATATCTACCAATTTAGCTCCATCAGTGTTTGGAGTTGTCTGATAACAAAATTTATACCGAAGGTTCGTCTGAATTTCATTGCACTGTACACGAACTAAAGTTGAATGCAAAATCAATCTAATTTGCATTTTGTTCGACATTACAACATATCTCAATGAACTCAGTTCTAAATTACAAATTCTGGAACAGTTGATTCATGAGCTTTATCATATCCTTGTACAATAAGCTTCGACTCTGGTCAAAAGTCACTTAAGTGTCTAAAGTGAATTAAGAGAAGGAAATACTTATCATTTTCCCACCCTTGCAAATCACAAAAATGATTTTGTTTCAAATCCTTTGCAGATAAGTTGAAATCTTTGAGGCAAGAATTCAACACTAGATTTAGTGATTTAAAACCTAAGAAGGAAACTTGTGAATATTCTCTTCTCCATTTGACCCTCCTCGTGGGTCGACACAGAGAACTCTGTGAAGCTACTGGCTAGGATCTATACCTAGGCAGTCTCAGCCACAGGGGTATATAATCATTGAGTTTGGTGGTTTCACCACCCCTGGGAGATACCTTGAGTTAGGCTCATTGGCCCAGTCAGATGGTTGGCGTAAGTCACAGAACAGATGGTTCTGTAGTTCGATGTGGGGCGACACTGAATTTGCTAGGTAATATCCTGATGTGACACACAGCCCACATAGTACTGACGGGAGCATTTAGACGATCAGCCAAAACTCCAGGTGATCAGGTCATGCCCATGACTAAAATCCGCGAACAAGGAGTGGTGACTCCTGGGGCCTGTCGAGTAGGTGGTGATTATGGCGCATTAACATCTGAGGCTAGGATCCGGAGTGACGCCCGGATCTCCAGACATAAGTGATTTATAAGCAGCGCCTAAAGTTGATAAAGCCGGTCTAGTAACCAATCAACTGTGCATCCTCCCACTGCCCCCCTTTTTTTTCCAGTAGAGTGCAGCTTCCTCCAGTTGTGTTAAGTCGCAAGAGGGGTGTACAAATTTTGATTGATTCGCCATTTGATGTTGAAGGTGACCTACCACCATTTTCTTTGTGAACAGAATTAATCAAACTACAAGAAAGCCTTGTTCTGAAGACAAAAGTCAAGGATATTACACTAATTTTTATAAAAACTGTTTCTCACTTAGCAAGTTTCTAAAGTTGACAGCTTTTGCCCAGCAAAAAATGACACTATTTGGAAAAAACCTATAAATGTAAGCAACCTTTTTCAGAGATGAAGTTCATTAAATTCGAAGACAAAGATGCAAATTACTGATGTGCATCTCAAAGGTGCATTGCTAGTTTTAAATTCTGCAGTATCCCTAATTGTTGACCATCTTGTATCCACTATGGCATTAAAAAGTTTTTTTTTTTTTTTATTTTTTTTTTTTTTTATTAAGAATATTATCCTATTTCGTAATTTATATTTTTATAGATTTTATGATGGGGTTTTATATGAAGTAATAGAGAGTGTAAACTAATTAAGATGTGTTCGTTTTTTATATTTGTGTAAAAATAAATCCTAAAGTACTCTGGCCCACATAATATTCCTAATTTCTAATACGGCCTATTACCCTTTCAAAATTATATATGCATGATCTACATCCTCTTGATCTTGTAAGTAATTTTCTTAACTTCTGAATGATTTAGGAGTCTGTATCCAAGCAAGATATGCTTCTTAAAGATTATGATCCAGAGATATTTGATGATGATGATTTTTATCGGCAACTCCTTAAGGATGTTATTGAAAGTCAATCTGTTGGTATCGATCGTGAAGTGTTAAGGTAACATTTATATAGGTATAGTCTAAAAAGTATAATCTTCTGGACTAATTTTATGATCTTTTATTGCCAAGCTTTTAATGTTGCAGCTTCAGAGCACTATTGTCTACCATATTTATTCATGCATTTTGTTGTGTTACATTGTTTATAAATTATTTTTCTTTCCTTCTTTAATGATCTAAATATAATGTTAATGAACAAAACACTATTAAAATACAGAATTAAAGAAGTGGTTATGCAAATCTAGCTAGGCTGTTTAAATACATCTATTCATGAGCATATTCAAAAAATCATGCTACTTAGAAGCATAAAAATTTTTAGCATGTAATTACTAATTTTCATTTTTTATGTGCCAGTCTAGAATTATGTTTATATTATTCCCAGGCAGCATGCTTTCGTAAATTGCACGAGAAAAATACGTGCAATTTACGAATGGCCTTTCGTATAAAAAACGTTCAAGTTGTACGTAAAAGTATCATAAAAAGTGTCCAGTGGCAATTACTATATATTTACATATATTTTTACGTTATACAATACGTAAATTTTAGGTATATTTACACGAGTGACTGCTGTTCATTCGCAACTTTTACGTATAATATACGTAAATTTCAGGGATTTACGTATATTTTTAGTAAAAATTTACATATATTTATCGCATATACGTAAATCTCAATTTTTTGCTTCACGTATGCCTATATATTTAGTAAAAATTTACGTAAATTTCCCCGATTTTTTACTGTATATAAACGTATATATTAGGTAAAAATTAAGGTAGATATTCCCCGTATTTTACGGTACAAAAACGTATATATTTGATAGAAATTAACGTATATATTTCCTGTATTTTAGGGTACAAAAACGTATATATTTGATAGAAATTAACGTATATGTTTCCCGTATTTTACGGTACAAAAACGTATATATTTGATAGTAATTAACCTAAATTTTCCCTATGTTTTCTTTGCATATGCGAATGACTGGTAAAAATTTAATCCGATGTCTTCTCCACTTTACTGTGTATAAATGCACATTTTTTGGTAAAAAATTTGCATAAATCTCCAGTTACCTTTTCACTGCATTTTTCGTAAAATGTACTTATTTTAATCTCATATTTTTTATATAAATCTATGCAAAAACTTTCTGCATGCTATGATTAAAAGGTAAAATATCATTTTTATATCAAATTCTTACATATCTGCCTTTTAGTTATGTACAGCAATATGGAATATATATAACTGGAAAATTTAAATGCACTAATAAATGCCAAAAAAAAATTAAATTTCTATTCAAAAATTATGTAACACTTAAAGGCTGAAAATCACTTTTAATATTTCATTTCAAAGTGACTACAAAATATGCAATAAATACCGTAAACATCAATTCTATGTTTTAAATCAATTAATGCTATCGTTCATTTACATTTTTGTTTACTAAATTCATTTCATAAATTTAAATTTAGTAAACAACTGTAGCAAACAGTTGTTTACTAAATTCATTATTACTAAATAACACTTTAAATAAATTATTTGCTTTTCCGAAGGACATTTTCTTATGCCATGTAAATGAACGATAGCATTAATTGATTTAAAACATAGAACTCAGGTTTACAAAATTTATTGCATATTTTGTAGTCACTTTGAAATGAAATATTAAAAGTGATTTTCAGCCTTTAAGTGTTACATAATTTTTGAATAGAAATTAATTTTTTTGCATTTAAATTTTCCAGTTATATATATTCCATATTGCTGTACATACCTAAAAGGTGGATATGTAAAAATTTGATATCAAATTAACATTTTATCTTTTAATCATAATATGCAGAACATTTTTGCATAGATTTATATAAAAAATATGAGATTAAAATAAGCACATTTTACGAAAAATGCAGTAAATAGGTAATTGGAGATTTATGCAAATTTTTTACCAAAAATGTGCACTTATACACAGTAAAGAGGAGAAGACATCGGACTAAATTTTTACCAAAGTCATTCGCATATGCAAAGAAAACATAGGGAAGATTTAGGTCAATTATTATCAAATATATAAGTTTTTGTACCGTAAAATACGGGGAATATCTACGTTAATTTCTATCTAAAGTACAATATAGTTAATTAACAAATTCAGTAAACATCATACATTTAGATTATATTATTGAATGAGTGTGCTAAATTTTAAAATTGTTAAATATAGACCAGGAAATTGTAGAAAACTTACCTTTTCCAATAGTTTACCAAGTTGACTTTGTTATTTTCCTTGAAGATGAATGTTTAATGTCACAAATATTTCATTCATATCTTCAGATAATACACAAATATATACGTATTTATTAAAATTAAGTTTATCCAAAACATGTTAAAGAAAATATTAATTTGCATGTAAGTTAATCGAGTAACTTCTGTTTTAATTACACACATAATTATGATATGTAAAAATTTTACATTTATCAGTCAATCTTGCAATGTATTGTAATCTATTATTGTTGTCTTTTCTCAGTTTAAAATCTTATAAATATATTAGATCAGTACTAAAAGTTCACCTCTACAAAAGAAATGCTTTATTGAGGCATTTTTAAAAAGTTCCCTTTTACAATGTAACTGTTAATTTCATAAATAAGTTCATAAAATTATGCAAATTCAAAATTACCTAAATATGTTCTTTATTTTATCTTATATACCAGATAAAATTTTAAAAAGTTAATTTGTTTAGGAATATTGAAGTTTTTAAATATTTATCTCATGTGACTTTTTCTATAACATCATTATAAATGTACATGTTGATGTGGACATACCAATTATTTTTTTTCATCAAATAGCTTTATGGTATTAAATGATTTAAAAGGAGGCAACTGGACAAAAGAAAGCAATTAGAAGTTGGCTAATTTTTATTAATTTGTTGTCAAATGCTGTGCATTTTAGATTATGCTCATATGATGACAATGAGTTATTTAAATTATAAAATTATTATGAACATATCCCACATAAATTAACAAGTATCAAATTTCAAGTTGTTTGAAGTATTATGAACTGTAATACTTGCAAAAGAAATACACATGAAATTAATTTAAGAATTAGGTTTATTTTACAGGTATTCGAAAAACTGCAATTACTGTTAAACAATAAAAACTAACATTAAATCTGAAGAGCATAATTTTTTTCAATAATAAAATTCAACATAGATTTCATTCAGCTTCGCCATATTTGTTCTATAGTTCGCTGTCTTTAATATCCTGCTCGATTTTTGTAAAAGTGAATTCTTTGTCACCCAATGTTTTGAGAACAGCTCCTAAACAAGAAAAAGAAAAATTTTTAATAATTTCACACTTCAGATGTTTTCAGTTTTTAAATATAGTTGAAGTATTAAAAGATGCATATAAAATGCACTGAGTATTTCATATTTAAAAATTTACATTTCAGTAATTAAAAATTTAAGTTCATACTATCACACAGTAAACTTCAATTATATACCTTACACAATGCCTATAATTTCAAGTAAAAAATACTTAAAGATTTGTTTAGAACTGCAAGGTTAAGAAAGTCTTTAATGGCTATGTTTGTATTTAAGTACACGAGAAAAAACTTAATTTTGTATTAATTATATTGCATTAGCCTTTCCAATTTTACTCCTACATATAGTAAAGAATATTCGCTTTCTTACAGATAACTTTTTCTTAAATAAAGAGTAAGCAGAAAACTAATCACAACACTATATACATATAACAGAATACTTCATAAACATATACATGTCATTAACATACGTATATGCATTAACAGGCTATTTTACACATTTCAATAAACCAGAAACCAATACACAATCAAAAGTATTATCAGTAAATTCCTCCAAAATCAGAACACAAATCTTTAATTATGATAACAATGGCATCTCAGTTTGCAATATAAAATATTTCAAGTCTACATTCATGTGCATTCTAAGCAAACAGAAAGCTGAATAACAATAAAATTATAAATACCATAAAAAAGTTAAAAGCCACGTAGAATGATAGCAAGACTAAATGAAGTCTTCCTTCAAAAATTTGCCTTCCTATTTAACATCTCAAAATAGGGTTACTGCTTTCACTAACTAAATTTCCTGTCTTGGCAAAATAAAAATTGTCACTTCTGTTGCAGGAAATATTTGCTGCAAACTTTGTATGCAAATAATCCAGTGAAAAAAATTTAATTGTGGCTTGAATATTTTCTTTATTAAATAAATGAAAAATTCCCACATAATATTAATTTATGATCCACATGAAGCTTTTTACCTCTACCATATCATGCAGCTATTTTAAAATATATACTCTCATATAAAAGCCACAGAATTTTTTTACCAATATTAATATGGTATAAATCATTTCTTCTAAAAACAGCCCCAAAAAAATTTCTGAATTTGATACCCAAAACATAATTCTACGTAACGTAACTGTTAATGTATGCATTTGCTTGCACATACTTAAAATGAATTATACACACAAAAACTTAACGTAACATATTAACTTTAATAAATTCTTAATTAGCAGGATGATTCAATTAAGGCAAAATATGAAAGAAATCTACCTGATGTAATAGTTGTAAAAGATATATTTAAAAAAAGCTAATACTGTTTACCTTACACATGGCAGAAATTGAGTAAACTGTATGCAGCTGGATTATTTATTAGGAATAGAAGTTAGATCAAAGTACCAGTTCTGGAAGGCTTTAACCATTTGGGTGCAAAGAAGCATCTCAATTTAAAAAAGAATAAAAGCTAATAGAATTTTATAACTTTTACAATCTAGTACAAATATTAGACACATAACACTAATTACAATCTAGTACAAATATTAGACACATAAACAAGACTAAACGCCATTGTTTACTTGCATTGTGTACTTTACTCCTTAATTTTTCAGGATATGATTTAGAAACAGAGTTATGGTAAAAATGTGTACTGGTAAAAAAAAATATTGCTGAAACTGATAAGTCCTTTGAATTATATACTATAGTGCAAAGAGGGATGGAATATGTGAC